TTTCAGTAGACCTTCTTCAGAAGCTTCCCTATTATATGAAATTAAGCATTTAGATGAATCATTTTTTGCTTTTGAATCAGATTCATTGTTGGCTTTGTTAGAATTTGTAAAACTTGCTGATTAGATGCATAATTCTTATAGAAACCGGGACATGTCTTTAAATTCCATGGTTCGTTTGCTTTGGGTTGAAGCTTCTTTGTTCTCCATTTTATGATATATCGATGTTAATGTTATAATTTTTGACTAAGGATTTTTCTAGATCTATGTTCATTTGAAATTTAAAATCTAACTTTAGGCATGCAGAATCAGGTTTTTTACATTCTCGGCCCCCCTTCTTTTGAACAATGGATAGCTTTGTTCAGTTTTCATACATTGCGTGAAAAAATGTCGATATATTATTTTGTAGATGTGTGACATGTCGAAGTGATTAGATGGGTGGGTTTGAACCTGTCACCAATGGACAACGTAGAGAGGTATGGAAATTGGAAATTTGATGTTTTCAGTATTTTTTTTTAATTTTGTTTTTGCTTATCCTTAACCTATGTTTGTCCTGTTGTCTATCGACATTTTACGAGTTTATTAGTGGACATCTCAATCTGAATTATAAATAAACAAGATAAGCTTCATATTGTGGTATGTTTTTAGTTAGTTAATCTGTGGTAGTTTCAGGTAGCCATCAAATAAGGACGTGCTATAAGTGTTGTATTCGTCTGCGGATTAAACAAGCAATTTAATCCGCGTCCTTTTGATGTGAATCCTGGCTCGTCATCGAGCAACCAAGCTCTTGAATACGACACAGCTACAGACTTGGAACTTCATAAATCATGCCTTTAGAGGCGAGAAAAAAGAAGGTTCACCGAGGTGGAGAGCTTCTGGGCGGTGAAAAATGGGTGCCCTATGATTTGAATAAAGCTCTCTCCCGAGCGATAATTCATTCAGTGCAAACATGATTCGTGATTGGTTTCAGCTTTATCCATATAAGTAGGAAGAAAATAATTATTATGGAGATTTTTTTCTTTGATGCAAACGATAAATTAAGTGAGCGCTAAATTAGGTGCTAGTTATCAAGATCTTTACTGCTAGCTATAGCTAGTTGATTAGGTGCAAGAAACATTTAAGCGGTTATAGACAGAATGAACTCCCCAGGGCTGTGTTCGGGATAATATATTCTTGCTAACTATCCCAGACGAATGTTAGACACACTTATGGATGCAAGTAAGAAAAAAAAAAAAAACCCTATACTTTCACTTTTTCTAATAGGACGATCCTTATTTATTTATCTTAGCATAGCCTTTACCTCAATCCATAATTGCCTTTACCCCTCCTCCATTACTTCAACCCTCGCCCACTGCCTCAACCCTTAGCTTCGTACTTCGCCATCCTCACCCTCACCTCATCGCCTTAAGCGATCTCTCGACAAGCCTCTTAGGTGGGGTGGAACACTTGATAGTGCTGACTAGGGGTGTTCAAATTAAACTAAAAAATTACATCGAACCTGAACCAAACCGACTCACTGATGGTTTAGTTAATTGATTCGAATTGAATCGATTTTAATTTAAAAGATATCAATCTTATTGAATTCACTACCCTAAGCCTAATTGAAATTGATTAATCAAATGGACCAAAATGCTTAATTTAGTGGGATCAATTTTATAGATATTATCATTTCATCCAATTAGATCAAGATTCTAGTTCAATTCAATTAAATTGAATCGATTTATTAAAAAAAATATTTTTATATTACTTAAAATTATAAATCAATTAATCGATTAATTGGTCTTAAATCGATTCAGTTAGGTAAATCGAAATCGATTCCAATTCAAACTACCTTACTTTAATCAAACCGAATCAAAATAATAATCTGGTTCAACTCGACCCTTCACACTTTGGTTTGAACCAATTTGAATACCCCTAGTGCTACATTAGGATTCAAGGATGTTACGACCTTGAATACCCCTAGTGCTACATTAGGATTCAAGGATGTTACGACCTTGGTTAGGTCTCGAATCTCCACAACGTACAACGACCACTTCCTAATACCCTAGTAGTTCATCAACTTCCCATCTCTTCCTCTGTTGTAGTTGATGCTGCATCCCTCACCAATGGCAAAAGCTCATTGGTGTTAGTCGTCCTCTTAAGAGATCGTCCACCTCAACCATCGTGATAACAATGACGAACAAGAGGCGAAGACGATAAGACAAGAGTGAAGGCAATAGATGAGGGCATGACGAATGCGACGATCAAGGGGTGGAGGTGACAAATGAGAGGGCGCGATCGAAACGACAGACAAAGGGTGGTGGTAGCAATCAAAAGAATGAAAGTCAAGAGTGATATCATTTTTTTTGAAAAAAATAAGAGATATTCTATGAGAATAAAAAAAAAAAGGAGATACTCTGTCGGGAAAAAGAAAACAAGTTTTTAGAAATTTTAGAAGACAACAACGATTTCAAGATACAAGGTCAAAGCTTAGTAGTGCTGGAAGATAACCAAGTAGAAATCATCCTTAGGAAAAAGAACCAATTCAAGATTAGAAACCGCAAACAATATTTAAGATTTGGAACAATGGAATCTATCAAAGTCGTTCAAGCACATAAGCTGTGAGTAGTACTAGTTAAGCACATCTCCTGCTAACACATTCCGACAGCTGAATCACAATAAGCTTAAAAGCAGAAGCCAAACATTTAATCATCCTCATTATTGGCAGGTCATCAGCCATGGGTTATAGAAGAAAAGTGATTTATCTTATTTGAATAGAAATGAGATCTAAAATTAAGAAAACCATAATTTTTATACATTCTGATCTCGATTTTTTTTGGACTTAGCTTCACAAGTTCTTGGAAGAAGTATGGTCAATCTTTTATACTCAGATAGCAACAGCCAAATGTCCCAGAATTGCATTTACAAAGGCTTTCAGTCTAAAGCTTCAGTATCATCGCCAACAGCATTGTGAACTATGTAGGGAAAAATGAGCATTGAACACATAGCTGACTGAGAATGAGCATCTAAAAACTTGAGCAATCTGTGTTAAGCAAATGGATAAGTTCCAAGGAAAAAAAAATCTTTAAAGGAATTAAGCTTGAGAAAATCCACAAGGTCCTTGAATGAAATTGCTAGGAAATCATGAGGTAACTCTACAACAGTTTGGACTTGCTTCACAAGTTCTTGGAAGTAGTATGGTCAATCTTTTATACTCGGATTGCAACAGCCAAATGTCCCAGAATTGCATTTACAAAGGCTTTCAGTCTAAAGCTTCAGTATCATCGCCAACAGCATTGTGAACTATGTAGGGAAAAATGAGCATTGAACATCGCAACATAATCACACAACAGTTTATGCAATCTGTGTTAAGCAAATGGATAAGTTCCAAGGAAAAAAAAATCTTTAAAGGAATTAAGCTTGAGAAAATCCACAAGGTCCTTGCATGAAATTGCTAGGAAATCATGAGGTAACTCTACAGCTAATGTGAACAAGAGAACTATGATTTACCATTTACTTGTTCAATCTTTACTAAAATCAGAGTGATATCATTGATCTCTTGTAGCTTAAAAAAAAAAAGTATTATTTACATTCATGAAAAAAGTAAAACAAGTGATGCAAGAGAAATAAGGAAGGTCTAGAAAAAAATTTACAGAAAACAATGAGAAAAGATTTGATGCCCTTAGTCACAAACTGTTATATGCCAAATTGCAAGAGTTCAATTTGTTATAACTCAAAAACTGTTAAGTGACCACTAACTTGTTAAACCTGATCTAAGGATGCTTGATTCCATGTTAATGGTAGGGCACTCATCATCTCCCCATTTGATGTGCTCTCGTTACTCAACATTAGATTGACCTTAGTATAATTTATCATGATCCAATCCGATGAGATAACTTGTTCATTAATTTCTTGAGTTTGAACTACTAGCAAAATAGTAGTAAAGTTAGAAAAAGTCCTTACAAGTCACTTGTGACATGAGGCTAAATTGAGGTATTACGCATTTAATGAGTATAATAAGTAACTCTGATTTCTATAAATATGAAACAAGTGCCACTCAGCGAAGTCAAATAAAAAACGCGAATGTAAAGCATTCCAACGAACAGGGAAAGCAGATCAGGTCGGAGAAGAGATACCTGACACCGGCATCCCGATCGAGCCCTCTCGCCACCCCCGCAGAGAACCCACCGAGGCCACATGCCAGCCCTAACGAGAGGTGGGTGCAGCCTTCGAGAAGGTAGTACGAGGTGGCCTTAGGGTCTATAATATTATTGCTAAACATAACGGCGATGGCCACCGCCCGCATCCCGAGCACTCCGGCCAAGACGACGCGCACGATCGACTTCTCCCGAGCTCCGGTCTTCGTATCACGCCCATCAAGTTCGACCCGCACGCCGCCCCCGATGCCCCCACAAGGAGACGAAACCGAACCATCAAAGCCATATTCCGGATCGCGGGAGGCCTGGGATTCGATCGAAGGGGGGATTACAGGAGAAGACGAAGGCCACGGCGACCCCGAAGAATCCGCAGAAGGTTGACATGGCCGGCTGAGTTCAGTAAACCCTACAATTTGAAATCCCTGATTTCTTGGGAGGCGACGGAGGAGGACAGAGCGAAGAGTTGGTTGCGTTTTCTTTTATTACATATGTAAATAGTTATATTATAATATTAATTTTATTATAATATAAAAAATTAAAATCCGAGTGACTGCTGCCATGAAATGAAATGAACATGACGGGCTCTTCATTGCTACTATGAAACTGGACAACGAAAGGTCGCCACAAAATGTCGTCTTCTTCATGCTGCGGTGGACTCCCCTGTACGCGTGGAGTCGTCTCAGATCACAAGCTTTGAGGGGTGAGCTTGAGGAGCTCCAAAGCCACAGAAAGAGGAGTGACGACGTGGTCTCTTCGTTGCCTTGAGATCTCACGTGAAATATCGTCTCTACTTGATCTATATATATGGCACTCACTCTGTGTTTGAAGGCAAGCAGAAACCAAGTGCACCGTACGAGACAGAGCCATGGCTCAATCCGTGCTATTGGCCAGCACTGGAGGCCGATCGTTGAGCTCCACCATGGAGCCATTGCTCCAGGCACAGATTCACCGGCTCCGGCCGACGCGGTTCTCCGACCTCATCCTTCCTCGGACTCCTCGCAGACACCTGCCTGCCACTTCTTCTTCTTCCTTCTTCCCAACTCTTGCTTTGTTCAAGGCTAAAACCAAAGCTCCTCCAGCGAAGGTCTGCGACTTGACGTCACATTAGACCTTTTAATGGGACTAGTTGTTGAGGAGGATCTCCGCACTGATCACGGTTGTTGATGCTGTTGCTGCAGGTGGAGACGAAGAAGCCGAAGGTTGAGGATGGCATCTTTGGCACCTCCGGGGGGATTGGGTTCACCAAGCAGAACGAGCTCTTCGTTGGCCGCGTCGCCATGCTGGGGTTTGCAGTGAGTAGTCTGCGTCCTCTCCCTTCTCATTCCAACCTCTCGTACTCAAACTCGATCATATCCGCAGGCTTCTCTGCTAGGAGAAGGCATCACAGGGAAAGGAATCCTAGCACAACTGAACCTGGAAACCGGCATACCGATCTACGAGGCCGAGCCGCTCCTCCTCTTCTTCATCCTCTTCACCCTCCTCGGAGCAATAGGAGCGCTCGGTGACCGAGGACAGTTTGTTGATGATTCTCCCACCGGGCTCGGGAAGGCTGTCATCCCCCCGGGGAAGGGCTTCCGAGCTGCTCTGGGACTCGAGGAAGGAGGTAAAGTAAACCACAAGCTCTCAGCTCCGCCTTCTTCCATCTTCTTCCGTTGTCAAGACAACACTTGGATTCAGCTACTGATTTGTGATCCGTGTCCTATCTCGAAGGGCCCCTCTTCGGATTCACGAAAGCGAACGAGCTCTTTGTTGGAAGATTAGCGCAGCTGGGCATTGCGTTCTCCATAATCGGGGAAATAATCACAGGAAAGGGTGCGTTGGCGCAGCTAAACATCGAGACCGGAGTGCCGGTCAGTGAACTCGAACCGCTGGTACTATTCAACGTTGCCTTCTTCTTCTTCGCTGCATTGAATCCAGGAACTGGGAAATTTGTGACCGACGAAGTCGAAGAATGAGGAAAGCAAATTAGGATGCAGCGCGAATTCTTCTTGTTCATTTGTGTAGTCAATAGTTAATGTAGTTCAGTGATCCGAATGCTTGGGATGGTCAACAGTCTTTTCCAGGCTCCACTCCACTTAACATCTCATTCAATGAGAAAGAAGAGGAAGATGGCCACAATCACGATCCGACAGAATAACACATCGATTGATTTAATGAACTAGACCTATTCATCCAAATTATTTAAATCAAGTTGATGATAATAAACTCATCAAACCCTATAAATCAATCCAAAATTTTATCTACTTCTGATATTACATTCAATCAAGGTGTTCAGATAAAGATAATAATAATAAAAAAGACCTTTCTTTTGATGGCCATTTTAAATATTCGATAAAAATAACTTTTTACGCCAAAAAAAGGATCAAAGTGGCATGCTTGCAGTAAAAACGTAAAACTTGAAGCCCTTCAATGTGAATTAATGTAGTCATGTCCCACATTAGGCCATCGCAACACAAGACCACAAGATCTCGGAAGCAACACGTTAGCAAGAAAGCAACAGTAGATGTGTCAGCCAAATGATAGATTGGTAAGTTCAGCGACTGAGAAATTCTCAACAAGTTTGATGCTTACTGCCATAAAACATGAAATTACATCATCCTCTAAATATAGAACAGTTCTCTAACCATACTTACTGCCATAAAACCCAAAATCAGGCATAAAGAAATGCCTTTTATTACTAGGCTATTTGGATTAAGGCATAGTAGCATAGTTTCTGCTGATCTTTGAGCTCCATGAAACAGTTGTCTTCCTCTCCCTCTACGGCTAACAAGATGACTCCTGCAGTTAGAAGAACCATCAGCATGCGGTTCCCGATGGCATTGTCAATAATAGCCAAGCAACTAATCTAGCAAATACAATATCATAGCACTTGGTTACGTTTCTTTGGTTCATGCAAAGGGGAGGTTGAATTCATACAAAACCACTACCAACAATTCAAACCACTAACAAAATCAGAGTACAGAACGACCAATGTTCTAAGAGAGCATTACAGAAATAAAAGTTTGCCAACCAGGTCTTTTTTTTTTCATTTATCTAAACCACAAGTCATTTCGTGTATCCCTGTTCCCGTGAGGTGATTCCTGCAGCTTTAGTGGAGTAAATGTGTCATTCTAATGTGTCTATCCAAGTCCTAAAAATTTTGACCAGTCCAAGAATCCGTGTTTGGATTATAAGAATCGGAGCCCCCATTCAACTATAGCTCAGAATTATTCATTTGCTTCCCATCTAACCCACCATTGAAACAAATTCTGAATTCATATATAATCATAGATACAAAATTAAACAAAATTTAAAGAGTGGTAATATATTATATATTTAATCTGATCAGGCCAAAAAATGGAACAAATGAAGGCTGATGATACATTCTAATTCATCCAATCCGGTCATTAGTCAAGTTATCAGACTTATATGTTAAATCATGATCTGCAAAAATCAGATTGTATGTGTATGTTATATGATTAAAATGAGAATTTCAAAGTACACTGATATTTCATGGTACTGGCAAATCATTACAAGGCCAGGAAAGCATGAAATCATGCTGATTATGCAGGTCAATACACACTCTATGCCAGTCTCCATGGGTTGATGCAGAACTGCATATAATTTTTGAACAAAGGCATGGCTTATTTTTGTCGATGAGTTGACCTACAAGCTACGGGCCTTTCCTTCTGCCAATTTCCAAGCTATAACCTTAACAAGACAAAATGGTGTGACCTGATTCTAATTTATTCCACAACCTTAACCTTATAATTCAATGACCTTTACTGAAGAAACAAAATCCTGAATGCCCAGAAAATTCCACAGCTTTAGCTAGAAATCAACATATCATAGCAGAAAGAAATATATCTGGCTTTTATGCGGCATAAAGTATAATGGTAGATCCAAAGTTAGAAAAGCTAAAGTGTCTTACAAAAAGAAAACACAAGTCAACCAATTTCAGTAATATCATGCCAAATACGATGGAAAATTGGGTCCCAGAACACACCATGATTAAAGTTCATCTTTTGCAGAATGAGGTGAGTCAGGCTGACTGGTTGCATCACTATTTGTTTTCACAAAGTTAATGATAGCCTCTGCTGTCCTGTCTCCATCATACTGTGAAAGCTTGCCACTTGCAGATGAAAAGTAGAGTGTTGGGTAACCCTGAACATCAAATTCATTTGTAACATCGTTTGCTGTTGCGTCCTACATGTCGATGACAAAGAGAAAGAAAGGAGTTAAAAATGTTTCAGTTACTGCACTTATCAGAAACACATCACAGTGAGAAATAAGAATAGGCAAACAAAACTACATGTAAAGAATCTGATAAGTGGAAACAATAGCATTATGTAAGCATAAACACTAGGAGCAAAATGTCCCAACTTGAAATTATTTTTTAACTTAAACGGTATGTAGGAAACAGACAATTAAAAATTCAAGACAATAGATAGACCAGAGGCCGGAGACGAGGTGAGGGAAGGACCATGGTTCCATCAACAAAAAGTTGGTGCAAACATGGATGGCCCAAGTCCTTCATACCAGGTGAGTGAAAAATGCAAGGGTGTTGGGAGGTCTCAACATAAAAAATACAGCGGTGCTACAGAAAAACGTTACATATTTATGGCTGCATGGAATTGCAAAGTAATTTAGTATATATGAATTAACAAGCAACCCATATACACGATCAAAACATCACCAATTGATTTTTATTTCAAAAAAATCCCTCCTAATCCAGTGGATTATATTCTGATTCTATACCACAATACCTGTTAAAGAAATCTGATTTATATTAGAAAAACAATAACAAGTTTGAGCTACCCAGGTTGTGAATCCAATTAACTGAGATGTGCAGTAAAGGTAGGTTTCCACATTTATGGATGATGTCATGAGGAAGTCTAGGACTCGTTGGGATGTGGGGAAGTATAGGAAGTGTGGAAAAGTCAAAATTCGGCAGCCACCAGCTACAAAAGTCAAAACCCCAAAACTCATGCTATATTATCTATGCGATGCTGGATATCATATCAGTTTTTTTATTTCTTAAATGACTAAAAGTTCAGCACAGAGAAAAAAATCAGCTCTTTGAAAAAAGAAGGCTACGCAGTAAAGAATTCCTTACTTTATTGAAAAGGTAAGATAGATTAAATTATCAAGTTTTGAAATATTAATTCATTGTCCTCATCTTTTCCATTCTTCATTTCTTTCTTATTTGCATCTGTTTCGTCATTTACTAATATGTTGTCTCTCTGCTATTTTCTTCTTTTTTTTTCACCATCCATGTTACCGTATGAAGCTTAAGCTAATGAGCCAAATATTTTTTGACTGTTTAGATATTAGTAATGATATTATATCTAATTGTAGATTTGCTAATTTTAAAATTATTTAATATGTTACTAAGCTTTTGTCCCTTGCTTCAACAGTGCATGCAATCAGTCTAGCACCCAACACTTAAAACTCCAAGAGACCTTAGCACAATAATATGCCTTGAAACTTTACACTGCATTATCCTCGCAATTCTAGATCTTTTTATCCTAAAATCCATTCAGATATATGTCAATAATATATTAATATCCTTGTCATATATTTGTTGCCCCTCATGCAATGAAACATATCCTAATGCTCACTGGGGTAAGACTGTTTATTTAAAACCTTGGTTAGGCTACCACATTGAAGTTAGTTCAAATTCTAATTCATTATGACAATGTAACCTTATTGATTGTGGATCGTAACACTGTCTAGTCACCATGATGTTTCATATGAGAACCAAAAATAAGGATAAGAAAAATATATAAATAATGAAGATTTGTAAGTAGTTGTCATGTCACAATATCCCAAATCAGAAGCATAATATAAATAAGAAGGTTACCATCTTTGCAATGATCACATCTGCA